TTAAACACAATTCAGCTGATTCAATGTAAACGCCCTTCATGGCGAAGCTTTTCTTTATTCATGAATTTTCATATTTTTCTCGATATCTATGCGTCTGAGATTTGCTACAACTTTCGTTCGAAAAGTTTTTCTGTAGCACGCTCCGATTCAAATTTATTCAATTTTATAGTTGTTGCCTGCTGAGGCCATCATGGTTAAATCCATGTCCTTTTGTAGTGTCGAGAATACGTTATCTAACTTTTCTTTAGTTAATGCGTCGAAGGCACTTTTTTAACACAATCTATTAATTCATTCATAGTTTTTGGCGATATTTTCTGGCGATTTTGATAATTCCTGGCTTGAACCTAACAAATGGTGATATCTATGGTAGCATTGGTTATGCATTATAATATCTTGATTCATTATCATTAATTTTTATGCAAACGTTTTTCCAAATATTTTGAAAATAATAATATATATATTATATTATATATATAACATAATATTTTTTATGCAAAATTTTCTGTTTATAACAGAATTAACATAGATGATTGTCAATTTTAATATTTTGAGAAATCCTGGCTTGAACCTAAGAAATGGTGATATCTATAGTGGCATTGACTATGGATTATGTTATCTTGATTCGTTATCATTAATTTTTATGGAAAACGTCTTTTTCTATGACCTTTAATTTTCTACTTATAACAGAATTTAACGCAGATGATTGTCAATTTTGAGAATTCCTGGCTTGAACCTAAGAAATGGTGATATCTATGGTGGCATTGACTATGGATTATGTTATCTTGATTCGTTATCATTAATTTTTATGGGAAACGTTTTTTTCTATCACCTTTAATTTTCTACTTATAACAGAATTTAACGCTTGTCAATTTTGATATTTTGAGAATTCCTGGCTTGAACCTAAGAAATGGTGATATTTATGGTGGCATTGACTATGGATTATGTTATCTTGATTCATTATCATTAATTTTTATGGGAAACGTTTTTCTCTATCACCTTTAATTTTCTGCTTATAACAGAATTAACATAGCTGATTGTCAATTTTGATATTTTGAGAAATCCTGGCTTGAACCTAAGAAATGGTGATATCTACGGTGGCATTGACTATAGATTATGTTATCTTGATTCATTATCATTAATTTTTATGAGAAACGTTCTTCTCTATCACCTTTAATTTTCTACTTATAACAGAATTTAACGCAGATGATTATCAATTTTGAGAATTCCGGGGTTGAACCTAAGAAATGATGATATCTATGGTGGCATTGACTATAGATTATGTTATCTTGATTCATTATCATTAATTTTTATGGGAATCGTTTTTCTCTATCACCTTTAGTTTTCTACTTATAACAGAATTTAACGCAGATGATTGTCAATTTTGATATTTTGAGAATTCCTGGGTTGAACCTAAGAAATGATGATATCTGTGGTGGCATTCATTGACTATGGATTATGTTATCTTGATTCATTATCATTAATTTTTATAAGAAACGTTTTTCTCTATCACCTTTAGTTTTCTACTTATAACAGAATTTAACGCAGATGATTGTCAATTTTGATATTTTGAGAATTCCTGGCTTGAGCCTAAGAAATGGTGATATCTATGGTGGCATTGACTATGGATTATGTTATCTTGATTCATTATCATTAATTTTTATGAGAAACGTTCTTCTTTATCACCTTTAATTTTCTACTTATAACAGAATTTAACGCAGATGATTATCAATTTTGAGAATTCCTGGGTTGAACCTAAGAAATGATGATATCTATAGTGGCATGGACTATGGATTATGTTATCTTAATTCATTATCATTAATTTTTATGGGAAACGTTTTTCTCTATTACTTTCGGTTTTTTAATCATAACAGAATTTAATGTAGATGATTGTCAATTTTGATATTGTTCTTGCTGTTTCTTTTTGCAGGTTCTTTATACACAAAAGGCCAGAGTCCTATTTTGCCGCTGAAATACTGTTTTTTAGCACTGTCATAGCCACTGCACCCATAAACATAACTTTAGTTATGAACCGTTTGCTTTTACAGCGCCTTTCTGGTTCTGCTTTTTAACTTACGATTTAATCTTCGACAAACAGAACTCTAGTTTCTTTCATTAATTAAATTAAGATTACATTATATTAAATAGCTAGAAACTCGTTAATTCTCCAAACTTTCCTTAATCCATAAATTTTAGAGAAATGTATACCATAATTTGGGACAGAGGAAGTATAATAATGTACTGGAAATGTTTTTTTTTATAAAAATGTAAATTGAAGGATTTAAAATGAATAAATAAAACAAAGAGAAAAAATTTCTTGCTCATTTCTTTTGTATTGAATATACCTATATCTAGAACGATAATACGGACAAATCGCTACTTACAAAGACGTTAACATCTAAATAATTATTACTAGTAAATTGTTTTTTTGCTTCTCAATTATTTATATTACNATTAGAGCAGTAGTTTCCACTAATCAAAATCGATCGAAGGGTTTAAAGTAACTTTCCTTTTTTTTGCTCTGAGGCCCAGATATAGATATTTCAGATTCATGATTTTCTTGGCGATCGACTCAAAACTGCTTTGCGATCGACGTTATGGACACCACTGCGCTATACGGTGGCACAAATGGTTTTACACCCGGTTTTAGATGAAGAAACGATGGCTTTTTAGTGGTGTATTTAATATTTATGGCTATCTCTAAAACTAACGAAGATATTGACTTGTAAAGTAGGTGGAAAAACGAGGGTAAAAGTTTGTTACTGTCGTTCTCAAAACTGCATTTGCCAAAGTGAATGACAATTTTCAAATTCGCATTTAAACAGGTCTCAGAAAGAAACATCACTAATACATATATTTATTTTTCTAAATCAGTTATTTTACTGAATTATAGTAATCCAACTCAATGGATTAAAGGGTATAATAATGTTAAAATAATGCATTGGAAATGTTTTTTTGGATAAAAATGTAAATTGAAGGATTTAAAATGAATAAATAAAACAAAGAGAAAAAATTTCTTGCTCATTTCTTTTGTATTGAATATACCTATATCTAGAACGATAATACGGACAAATCGCTACTTACAAAGACGTTAACATCTAAATAATTATTACTAGTAAATTGTTTTTTTGCTTCTCAATTATTTATATTACACATAATCGTCCATTTTTTACATTCTAATGAACTTGGTATCTAAACGCGGTAGTTTTTTTCTCGATAAAGATTTAAACATTAAAAAAAAATTAGGAAAAAAAAACAAACATTTACTTTCACAGACAAAAACAGAAAAAAAACAGGTTTGTAAAATAATCATTAAAAAACTTTTTTTTAATATTTTCTATTGCGAACTAAATAACACATCAACTTCTTTATTTAAACACGAACGCATTCTTATTTAAAAAGTTGTTATACATTGCACTTATTGAAAAGAAAAAAAATCGTACAAAAAGAAGAGAGAGAGAGAAAGAAGAAATATTATTACTTAAAATTTAATAATGTATCATTTCGACTTAACTTAAAGCAGTCACGTTGTGTTTTTTCTATTTATTTATTTATTTATAAGTTTATTACATTTTTTTCTCTTTTTTTTTAGAAGGAATTTGGATCTCAAACTAAAATAATCTAAAAACGAAACGAAAAATGGCTGTACATTATTAAATAATACAGAGAAAAAGTATGGCACATATTTTATCATTTAATTACGTTTTTAATTAATTAAAAGAAAAACTAGCGTTGAGCATTGAGCATTTTGAGGTTTACCTTCAACGTTTATTTTGAATTAAACGTTCACACAAACGCGAGTTTTAAGTTTAAAGTTTGAGATCCAATTGTGAAAAATGTTTTTTATGACCAATATTATTCGATTCATTTTTTTTTTGTGTTAACAATAAGCTTATGTTATTTAATATAATTTATTTTTAATTATATTAAATAAATAAGTAGTTAGTTTTTGTTGTCTTTATAATCAAATTATTTTTGTACAAAATATTAATTAATAAGCAGAAATTATCGAATAATATCGATTACTTCTTGTTAAATGCAAAAAATCCTGAGGGGGTGTAGCCCAACAAATTAATAAACTGTGTAAGAATTAAATAGTATAAAATATCACAATATTCTTTTTTTTATTTTTAAATGAACTGAAGAAAAAAAAAACTAAATTATTTATACATTAAAAAAAGAAAAGGAAATTTTCTCTCTAAATCGAGATTACTTTTTATTAAATAATGAAGAGAAGCAGATGTAAAATTAAAAAATAGACTAAAAAATTCTCAAAAAAAAAAATCTCTTTTTTTATATATATTTATAAAGTCTCACCTTCTTTTTTTCCCTTACGCTTTTTTTTCTAAAAGTTATTTACAGCATAATTACACAATCGTCACAAATTTACAAAAGTGGCTATTACAATTTATTTATTTTCTATTTACCATTTTTTTTTGTTTGATGAAATGCTTACCAATTAATAATTAATCAATTAACGAAATTTGAATGGAAAAAAGATTTTCTTTTTTAAATTTATTCAAAAAAACAAAGAACAAAAAAGAAAATTAAAAAAAAAAATAAAAGTAGGAAAATTAATAATGTATAAAAAAAGAAATTAAAGATGTACGTTGTTTGTGGCACAAAAGGAACATAAAATACTTTTAATTTAATAATTAATTAAAAATAATATGTTTGTTTGGACGTTGAGACGAGTTTTTTCTTTTTTTAACAAATATAATAATAGAAACAACGTTAATTTAAGTACCATCTTGGTGCAACGTCCAAATAAACAGCGAAATTAAAAAAAAATCATTGTACATTTTCGCTTTTATTTAAGCAATATTCCTCTTATTATTAATTAATTATTATAATCTGAATTTTTTGATTTGTCATGAATTTATTATAACTAGAAATAAATAAAGTAATGAATGAATCAATTATTTATGTTTATGTGATGTTTTATGTAATAAGAAAAATATTGCTAAAAAAACATGATTTCTTTCCTCTTTCTTTCATTTTTTCTTAATAAATTTATGTATAATATTTATATGTATATATATAATCTATTTTTTTTGTATAATATATATATATAACGTGATTTTGGCAAATGACATTTATGTTACATAGTAAAAAATATTTATATTTATACGCGCAATTAACTTTTTTCTTCATAATTAATTTTTTTCATTTCTTTTCTCGTTATTTTTTTATTTTAACGCACGGCTGGCTTAAAGCTCGTCGAAGTTGAGATCACCGCACTCGGCACTTTTAAAAAAGTTCTTTTAAAAAAATTTGTGTCTTAATGGTACATGAATTAAAAAAAAATTTCCCAATAAAAAGTTTTATAACTTTTATAAAACTTCTTATTTATTTTTTTAATTATGTGCACTTCATTTTTCGAGACTTCGTTTAAGATAATCCTCCTCCAACTTTATTTTCTTCTTATTTTCCTCAAATTTTGAATTATTTCTTTCATTTTAAAGTTCTCATAAAAAAATTTTAAAAAAAGTGCCAGAGCACCACCACCAAAAAAATTAAAAAAAAAAAATAAATCATAATAAAATTCAAAATAAAATCACAAGATGTCGCTATGTGACACTAATAATCGACCGAGGGGGTGCAGTAGCTGCAGCCGTTGACGTTTTCGTCGTACTGTCTTTACCATTAGTATCGGGGGGTTCATTTTTCACACACTGTCCTGTCAGCTGATTAACACTTAACGGATTGTTTATATCATGAGGGTTCGTACCGACTGGATTTCGAGGTGGCGCGGCCACGACAACTTGATGTATAGGTGGAGGTGGCGCCGTCGGTAATTTGTCGTACGTTGGTTCGTGGGGCGTTAAAGGACTCTGTAGCATATACGGACTGGAGACGCTCACCGATGGGCTTGCAACGCTCGTTGAAGGACTTGGCAGAACAACGCCACCAGGACTTGTTAGGCTGCTTAATGCGGATAAACCCCCGGGGCTTGAAATCGACTGGTTCAGACTTTCGGTGTCATCGTCAGGTGGAGTGTGAGCTTCGCCCATGCTACCACAACTTCCCAGGTTATCATCCGATTGGTTACCGTCGTTATGGTCCCCGGCTTCCATGTATCTTATACATTTCTTTTTACGTCTGCAAATAAATATAAGAGAATAAATATTAAAAACATATTCGTTAAGCAATAAAAAAAAATTAAATTTAATGTGATTCTAAGAAAAAAAATTTATTTATGGATTCGTTTAAAAAATCATGCAACCTGAAAATATCAACAAAAAAAATTATTCATGCTAATTTATGTATATCATTTATGAATCCATGCAATCCTAAAATAACTAGAATATAAGTTAAGTTTACCCCTTAACGCATTTATTTACTTATGCTCCTAAATGTTGAGCACATTTCTTAATTACTATGATCAAATCCGTAATACTGACTTAATCATATCTTTTTTTTAAAGAAAAAGAGACTATTAAGGAAGTTTTAAGAAGTTTCCATAAATATCCAAGTATTTTCAATGATATATATCATCTTTTGAATATATTCAAAATGTTTGCAAAAATTTCTTGATAATTTATAATGATTTGATACTTACAATAACCTAGAACTTGTAAGGATATCTACATCGTTGTAAACATATCCAGATTATTCCAAGGATATTTATAGATGATTTTCAGAAAATTTTCAAGAATTTATCTCAGATATAAAATTTTCTAAAAATAGCCAAGATGTTCTAAAGTTATCTAAAGACTGGTCACAATTTAGAGACTACTAAAAATATGTTGCAATTTCTGAAGTTATCCTGAGATAATAATCTAGAATTTTTAAAGATATTCAAGAATTATTTAGAATATCCAGGAATTTTTAAGGATGTCTCGAATCTAGGATATCGTTCCAGGTTGTTCAAAAGATATTCATGGATATCTAAACATTTACAGATGATTAGCTGAAGATTTTCAAAAATAGAGAATAATTAGAGAATTCGTCTTTGAGTAACAACTCAAAGACTACTAAGGAATATTTCTGAGTTAAGGTTATTTTGAGGTTCAAAAGAAATGTCATGTAATCACCAAAATTTTTCTAGATAATTCGTAACGATTTCCTAGAATATCAAGCAATTGCAGAAAACAGGATTTCTTGAGAATTTATTGGATGATTAAATGATTTATAGAGTTTACTAAGAATATGAAGGAGTTCTATTTTCAGGTTATTCCAGGTATATCTATAGAAATTAGATATTTAGGCGAATATTTAGTAATTTTCAATTATACTTAGAGATTACTAAGAACATCTTTGAGTTTCTAAGGTTATCCTACGATCTATAAGAATTATCACGAATTTACAACCTTATTCCATAAATGCCTTAATTCTATAAAAAAATACCTAAAATTTAAAACATTTCTGAATAAATCGAAGGATTTTCAATGGTTTCCAAAAGATTTTCAAAGAATTTCCGATGATATACTCAGATTACCTGAGATACCCAAGTAATTTTAAGCATATTTAAACATTTGCAAGATATTTTCAAGACTTTCGTATGAATTAATAAAAATATTAATGATACATACAGATTACTAAGAAATTCCAAGGGGTTCTAAGAATCTATTAGGGATTGCTGATGATTGTCATAAGATTTCAAAGAATTTCCAGAAAATAATTAGACTGTTACAGTGACTTTTAAAAATATTCAGAAAGATATCAAAAGAATTTTATAACAAATACAGAAAAATTTTCAAGATTTCTAAATTAATTTAGGAATTTTCAGCGATTTTCAAAAGATTTTAAAAAATTGCCGTATAGTTTTGAAGAATTCTTAATGATATTCAAGAAATACCAAGAATATCCAGAAATTTATAGATATTTTGTTATTCATAAGAACTTCCAAGGTACATCTGTGGATTTTCAGACATTTTTAAACGATTTGCAGAAGATTTTTAAGAATTTCCAAAGATTTTATCATATTATCGAATGATATTAGAGATATTAATAGAGATTACTTCGATAATCATAAATATCATAGAGATTACTTGGAATATCCAGGGGGGTTTTAAAACTAGAGATCAGTAAGAATGTTTATGGAGTTTCAAGGATTACAAACAATTTTCTTAAGATTTTCAAGGCATTCCAGAGAATACCTATGAATTTCGAATGATATATTGAGATTTATACCGATTTGCATAGAATTACAGAAATTTTGAATGATTTGCAGATAATTTATAAACATTCCTAATAATATTCAATGATTACCTAGAATAGCTAAGAATTACTAAGATTTCAGGTACTACTAATTATTTTCACAAAATTTTTGAGAGTTTCTTCAGAATCTATCGAATTATTTTAGTTATCTTGAGATTATTGAGAGTTTTTAGGGATTACTAATAGTTACCACAAGATTTTCAAGGATTTTCAGAGAATAGTTAGGGAGTTACAATGATATTTAGAAAACATTTACTAAGCACATTTATGACTTTTTAATAATAATTAGAAATTTATAAGAAAATTATAAGAAATTTATATGTTCAAGGATTTTGAACGATTTTCAAAAGATTTTCAAAGATTTTCAGATAATTTGCAAAGATATTAATTGTTACTAAAGGATTACCTAGAATACTTAGGCATTTCTAAGGAAATCTAGATATTCGTAATAATTAAGTCATTCTAGAGATATTTATGGATGTCCAAACATTTATAGATGAGTAACAGAAGATTTTCAAAAATTTCCTAAAAATGTTTATGGAGTTTCAAGTGTTTATGGATTACAAACACTTTCCTTAAGTTTATCAAGGATTTCCAGAGAATACCTATGAGTTTCTAATGATATATTGAGATTTATAACGATTTGCATAGAATTACAGAAATTTTGAACGATTTTCAAATAATTTGTAAACATTCCCAATGATATTCAACGATTACCTAAAATACCTAAGAATACTAAGATATTCGTAAGAATTGTCATGTATTTCTAGCAATATCTATAAATTTCCAGATATTTACAGATGATTTGCAGGAGATTTTCAAGAATTTCCGAGGAATTTATTAAATTTTCGAAGTTTACAAGTTATATCCAGGACGTTCTAAGTGTGGTCCAAAGTATTCGTTTTTGGTTATCTAGAGATTATTGAGAATTTTTAGGAAATTTCAGGTACTACTAATAATTTTCATACGATTTTTCTCAGAATCTATCGAATTACTAATTGCTACAAAAAGAACTCTTGAGATTATTGAGGATTAGTTAGAGATTACTAATAGTTTCCACAAGATTTTTAAGGATTTCCAGAAAATAATTATGAAGTTACAAAGATATTTAGAGATTACTAAGAACACGCATGAGTTTCTAAGGTTATCTTGCGATTTATAATAATTTTCATGGAATTACGCGGATTTTTAATAATAAATAATTCAATCATTAATTAGAAAAAGAGTAAAAATTTATATGGAAATTCAAGCATTTTGAACGATTTTCCAGATAATTTTCAAAGATTTGTATAAATTGAGAGATTACCTAGAATACCTAGGATACCTAAGAATTTATAAGGATATCTAGATATTTGTAATAATTTTCAAGTTATACAAAAGATGGATGTCCAAACAGAAGATAGATGAGTTCCAAGATTTTTAAGAATTTATAAGAACATAAAATGATACATAGAGTTTACTAAGAAGGGATTATTAAGAATTTTTAGGAAGTTTCTGAAATTTCTACGGATTTCGACAACATTTTTAATGACTTCCAGGAAATGCGTAAAGTATATCTAGAAATGTATGAACATTTTCAGGGAGTTTCCGTAGTTTATAGCTATTCAGGAGATTTCAGAAGAGTGTAAATAATTTTCAGCAGATTTCAAGATGACTTTCAAGGATTTTGAGAAACTATATATGAATTTCCAATAATACTTAGAGATTACTAAGAATATCTAGGAGTTTCTAAAGTTATCTTGAGATTATTTTGAAAAAGAATATAACATTAATCGCGTTCTATAATCAAAATACATATAAAAATTTCGTATCCTCAAATTTCCACATAATTTGTAAGGATTTTTAATAATATTCAAGAATTATCTAGAATATCCAAGAATTTCTAAGGATATCTAGAATTTAGGATATGTTTCCAGGTTGCTCCAAATATATTAACAAATGTCTAAGCATTTACAGATGATTTGTTGAAGATTTTCAAGAATTTCCAAAAAATAATTACGAATTTCGAGTGTTACTTCAGAAATTACTAAGAATATCTCTGAGCTAAAGTTATCTTGAGATTTAAAAGATGTCACGGAATTAAAGAAATTTTGAACGATTTCTAAAAGATTTTCAAACATTTCTAGATAATTTGCAAAGATTTAATTTAATAATTTTTTAATTTCTGAGATTAGGTTATTCCAGGGATGTTATCTATTGTGACTATTAATGATTTCCACCAGATTTTTCAGAAAACCAGGAAACATTTACAAGGAGTTCCTGAAAATCTATCGGATTATCAAATGATTCATAGAGTTTATTAAGAATATATAAGGGTTCTATTTTTAGGTTACTCCAGGAATATCTATGAATATCGGTGATTTGTGGAATAGTTTTAAGGATTTTCAGAGAATATTTATGAATTTCCAATTATACTTAGAGATTACTAAGAATGTTCTTGGGTATCTAAGATTATCCTACAATTTATAAGAATTATCACGAATTTACAACCTTATTCTATAAAACTCTATAAAAAATATATATAAAATTTTAAAAATTTCTACGATTTATAAAAGTTTTTGAAGATTTTTAAAGAATTTACACTCATATATTCAGATTACCTCCGTTACTCAACAATTTTAAGACATTCGTAAGAATTTCCAAATAATTCCAGGGATTTTTAGGAAATTACCGATTATTTGCGTCAAAGTTTGATGATACATAGAGATTACTAAGAAATTCCAAGAGATTCTAAGATTTTCTGGGAATTATTGCAAATTTTTAGAGATTGCTGCTGATAATTTTCGTAAGATTTCCAATATTTGCGGAAGAAGATTTCCGATGATCCAAATTGCTAAGAATTTTTCTGAGTTTTTATGGTTATCTTGAAATTTACAGTAAGTAAATAAGATATCATTCTATAAGAAAGAGACGAGAATTTTCAAAATTTCTAAATTAAT